CCGAGATCGGCAGGACACCAACAAAAAGGGCAAGGACTCCGGTAGGCGAAGCGACTTCGGCGAGCCGAAGAGGAATCTGCCAGAGGAAATTTTCACTTTGCTCAACACCACTTATGAGCATGTTCTCCTGACAGAAGGGGAAATGATTCCAAAACCGAACAATCGCAAGCTCCCTCGACAGAATGAGAAGGACACCGGCGTTTTCTGCCGATACCACCAATATAACGGCCACGATACGGAATCATGCATCGCCCTTCAGAAAATCGTGGAACGCCTCATCAACGAAGGGAAGCTGGACCAGTATTTGAGCACTAAACCAGCACCGGACAAATCGCCGAATCGGCATATCAATATGATTAGTGGGGGAACGCCCATCGCTGAAACTAGCAACCGATCCGTCAAGGATTATGTTCGTGCCATTCGGTACCCCCAGATCCTCAACGTAGCAGAAGGCCGCAATGACAAATTCCGGTGAATCGGTTGGGAGCCTATTACCTTTTCTGAAGAAGAAGAGCGAGGCATCATCTTCCCCCACACTGATCCCATGATCATCCGAGCTGACATTTCAGATTTCGACGTAGGCCGAATCCTCATCGACACCGGCAGTTCGGTCAATGTACTATTCACCGACGCTTCCAATGCCCTCGGCATAGATTCGTAACTTCTGAACAAAGACATCACCCCTCTCCTAAGCTTCTCTGGTGACGTGATCGAACCAATCGGCAGTGTCCTGCTTCCGTTTGCGGTTGGCACCATTCCCAGACGAACGATCATCTATACTCACTTTTTGGTGGTCGATTGCCCAACAGCGTATAATGCCATCATCGGCAGGACAGCGCTCACCAGAATGAAAGCCATGCTGTCACCACACATGCTCCTCCTCAAGTTCCCCACCCACGCTAGCGTAAGCCAAGTGCGAGGGGATCAGTTGAGTGCACGGACATGTTACGTTTCAGCAACCAAAGGTTCGGCACGAGCAACGCCTCGCGAAGCATACTCGGTAGCTGCTAACGCTACTGTGCCGAACGGCAGAGGGGCGGACAAACCGGATGATCCCAGGGATGAAGCTGTCACCCCACAAGCACAACCCGTTGAAGATTTGGAATCGGTCGTCCTCTCCGAAACAGAGCCCGACCGACAGGTTCGAATCGGTACCACCTTGAGTCCGGCACTGCGTACCGACTTCATTGCCTTCTTGCGCGCCAATGCAGAAGTCTTTGCTTGGTCGTACGATGACATGCCCGGCATCGCCCCGAGCGTCATCAGTCACAAGCTCAGCATCTGCCCCACTTTCAAACCCATCATGCAGAAACGGCGGGCCTATGATACCGAACGGTATGAAGCAATGAGAATCGAGGTGGAGAAACTGCGAACAATCGGCTTCATCCAGGAAGTCACTTACCCAATTTGGTTGGCCAATTCGGTGCTGGTCAAGAGGTCGAGCGATGCCTGGCGAACGTGTCAGGACTATACCGATTTAAACAAGGCTTGCCCCAAAGACAGCTTTCCTCTGCCACAGATCGATCAGATGGTAGACGCAACAGCAGGCCATGAACTTCTTAGTTTTATGGATGCATACTCTGGCTACAACCAGATATTTATGAACTCTGCCGATCGCGAGCATACGGCATTCATCACCGACAAAGGACTTTACTGCTACAAAGTCATGCCATTCGGCTTGAAGAACGCTGGGGCAACCTACCAGCGCTTGGTCAACAAAATATTCTCTGAACTCATCGGCACCTCGATGGAGGTTTATGTGGATGACATGCTGGTCAAAAGCAAAACAGCCGATTCTCACCTCCACAACCTCTCCCTCATGTTCAGCGTCCTAAAAAAGTACAACATGCGGCTCAACCCAAGTAAATGTGCCTTCGGCGTCTCCTCGGGCAAATTCCATGGCTTCATGATCAGCCAACGAGGCATCGAAGCCAATCCTGAAAAAATCCAGGCCTTGCTCGACATGCAGATTCCGAAGACTCAGAAGGATATCCAGAGCCTCACGGGGCATGTCGCCTCTCTGGCTCGATTTATATCCAAGGCTACCGATCGGTGTGCCCCTTTCTTTAAACCCCTAAAAGGAAGCAAACGGCAGATTGTCTGGACCGCCGAATGCGATCACGCTTTCCAAGACCTCAAGGCCTATATGAGCAGGGCGCCCCTGTTATCCACCCCTCTTCCTGGCGAAGAGTTAATTCTCTACCTATCAGTATCGGCAACGGCATTAAGCTCTGTGCTCATTCGCAAGCCGAATGGCATAGAGCTTCCAATTTTCTATACCAGCCACGCCTTGTAGGATGCCGAGATCCGGTACCCTGAGCTGGAAAAGCTTGCCTATGCTCTTGTTCTCTCAGCACGCAAGCTTCGGCCGTACTTCCAGGCTCACAGCGTTACCGTTCTCACTAATCAGCCTCTACGCCAGATACTACAAAGATTGGAGACATCAGGTCAGCTAGTGAAGTGGGCAATTGAACTCAGCGAATTCGACATCCACTATCGCCCTCGGCCTGCTGAGAAGGGACAAGCCGTGGCTGATTTCATCTCCGAAATGACTACATCTGAGGGACCCAATCCAGACATTACCGTTTTGGAATCAGCAGCATCATTCGCCCATCCAACCGAGGGAACATTCATTTCATCAATCCCTCTGTGGACTCTCTATGTAGACGGCTCGTCCAACCGACAAGGCAGCGGGGCCGGCTTAGTTCTCAAAGCCCCTGATCAAACTACCATCGAGTACGCCATCCGATTCCAATTCCAAGCTTCCTACAACGAAGCCGAACATGAAGATCTTTTAGCAAGCCTTCGGCTCGCCAAGGAAATGGGTGCTCGACAACTGAAGATATGTAGCGACTCACAACTTGTCGTTAATCAGGTGTTGACTGAATTCGAGGCCAAGGATACTTCCATGGCAGCCTACTTGACGCATGCCCACCGATTGCTAAGCCACTTTGACGCGTATCAGGTTCAACAGATCCCCATATCTGAGAACAGCCACGCCGATGCCCTGTCACGCCTGGCATCGGCAATCGACGACAACATAAGTCGCCACGTGCCGATCGAAATCCTCGCTCGGCGCAGCACTACCGAAGACGAGGTACATCCCGTTTGGCAGGACCCAAGCTGGATAGATCTGATATATGCTTACCTCTCAAGCGGAACGCTACCAGACGACAAAACTGAGGCCAAAACTCTCTGCCGCCCATCGGCACGTTACTTAATCTTAAATCAAGTTCTCTATCGGCGTGGCCATTCCTTGCCATTGCTTCGGTGTATAACCTCGCAGTAGGGGAACTACGTCTTACGAGAGATTCATGAAGGAGCCTGCGGGGACCATTCTGGGGCCCGATCTCTGGCCTTCAAGACGATTCGGCAAGGGTATTACTGGCCGACACTCCATACCGATGCCATCGCGCTCGTCCAAAGGTGCGATCAATGCCAGCGTTTCGGTTCAGTTCCAAAACTGCCTGCCGAACCACTCACTCCGATTGTTAGCCCATGGCCCTTCGCTCAATGGGGTTTAGATCACATCGGCCCCATGCCCCAAGGGATGTAAAGTTGACCGAAGCCGAAGCCTTGGCCACAATCACCGCAGCCAAAGTTGAACATTTCGTATGGAAGAATATTATCTGTCGATTCGGGCTCCCGAACGCAATCATCACCGACAACGGCAAACAATTCGACTCCTCTCAGTTCCGGCATCTATGCCACTGATTCGGCATCACCTTGTTCTTCGCATCACCAGCACATCCACAATCAAACGGCCAGGTAGAAGCCATCAACAAAATCATCAAGAAAACGCTGAAGAAGAAGCTCGGGGCAGCTAAAGGAGCCTGGCCCGATCTCCTTCCGGAAGCGCTCTGGGCCATCAACACCTCCTACCGACGATCGACCGGCGAAACACCGTTTTCCCTTGCTTTCGGTACCGAAGCTGTTGTCCCAGTCGAGATCAACGCACCTTCGTGCCGAACGGCATCTTACAAACCCTAGCAAAACGAAGCCCTGCTCACTCTCAACCTGGACCTCATTGATGAACACCGTTCCCAGACTCAGCTTCGGAATGCTGCCTACAAACAGAGGACCTCTCGCTACTACGACTCGCGCGTCAGACGCCGATCGTTCAAAATGGGAGACTGGGTTTTACGCAAAGTTTCTCTCGCCACCAAAGACTCGAACGACGGCACCCTTGGTCCATCCTGGGAAGGTCCTTATGAGGTCGTAACTGTCTGCCGACCAGGAACTTACCGACTGCGTGGTACCGATGGTCAGACCCTCGGCCATCCTTGGAATATAGAGCACCTCAAATATTACTACAAGTAACGTGACCTTCGGTCATCACCCTTTGTACAAGTGCTCACACCTTGGGTTGTCACCTTCGGTCGTCACCTTTGTAATCGGTTTATTTCAACACAATCCCCATTCTATACATATGACATTACCATACAGCAATATTATATCAACAATATTCTACATACGGCATGCACACATACAGAATTGCGGACATCAGCAAATTAAACCAAAACAAAGTTAACATAGATATAAAAGGCCACAGAAGGGCCATCTGTCTTTACAACATGCCATTCGGCATGTTCAAAAATGTTATACAACTCCAAAAATGAGGTTTGAATTAACAAAGTCTAAGAGGAGGGTGGATCGGCTTCGGTCGTTACAATATCGACATCAGCTGACGCAGGCTCAGGACCAGTCGACGGCTCGGCAGTAGACACATTGGCAGACCTCGGCCCGGGATGACCTTCTTCCTCCCCACTGCTTGAATCGGTGTCATCGGCTTCCTCGGGCTCGGCATCCTCACCCTTGTACGCCTCCACCATCTCTTCGGTCAACCCTTCCGGCAGCGGCGGCGGATCCCGGAGGAAGTTCATATTCAGCTTCTT